GTATTTTTCTTTTATACACTTTAGTTCACTTCAAGTAAAATATCGTTTAACAAATTAGAAATTTTCTTCGTCGGTGATACTCTCTAACCGAAATTCAACGCTTTCCTGATTGTATATAACTGTTGCACGAGTCCTGTGTACCAAGAAGCTATTTAGCAAGGGTATTCTACCGGAAAGCATGCATTCTACACTGAAAACAGCTGTTGTCATTGATTTGCATCTATAACATTGCAGGTTCTACATCATCACTGGCCTAAATCCTTTCCTGGAGTACACAGTAAACTTTCTGACGGTTGCCATTGTTGTGTAGGATACTCTCATCGTTTTAGAGAACATGGTTTTCCTGTCATTTTTGTGGATGGATTCGTGCTGACGTCACTGTCAGGCTGGTATTTTCTATGATCATATGATTGTCATTTTTGGATCAAACATGTTAATTCTGTCCTTGTGTTGATTGACACATTGAGATATCTTTGTTTCTTTAACCAGTGATATATATTGCATTTACATAATGATTTTCAATATCCGGAGTAAGTTCTTTGACAGAATGTTATAGACACGTTCTTCTATGATGTCATACTGCTTTCTTAATTTCATCATTCTGTAAATGGTTCCATTTGAAAAGATATATTGAAAAGATAGAGCGATATGTATCAGTTGGGAGTGATAAGAGGATTCATAACATATAGATTTATGTGCTTCTGTCAACCATGGGCGCGTTCGATGAAATACATTATTTCTAGTTTTGCAATACTGACAGAGCAATAAGATGATTTGGCACATCCATGATTGATTTCGACGGTCTGTACCAAATTGAAGTATCCGTGTTTCGTACAAAACCTATGCAAACATAGCCACGCTCCATACCTTTTAGTATATATACTTTGTCCTGCCCCATACCTATTTACAGTTTTCAATTATAGCTTGTCTACACGTTGATGTATTAGCTGCCGATAGGTCAAGTCATGACGGCTGACCCTAACACTCAACATAGCTATGGTGTACGTCGATAGCTACACAACTAGCATGGGATCAAAGTTTAGACAGGGTGTTTTCATTTCGTATTAAAAATCTCATCAACATTTCCAGTATCTCTTCCCAACCAAACTCGTTATGTGGTGTTTGCCTGCTCATTTCACATAATCAAGATGCGTTCAAATATGACAGGTTTATTTTTTGCATCACATCTATAGTGTTTTTAGTGCTTTTTATCTCTTTTAATTAAATCTTCTGCTATCCGATGTTGCCACTTTAGCAGTAAAACTGAGATGGTTTTGTTTAAATTGGTTTGCTCGAGAGGATTTTAATTAAAACACCACGTTATCGGACATTGACCTGTTTAGAGTAAAACTGTCAATGATAAATTTGTGATGTTTTCGTTCCCTTGTCAAATTAATTTAATTCGTTACAATTGACGTACTTGTATCATTCATATTTGTTAGGTTTTTGTTGTTTGGTGAATTATATTGTAATCAATATTGAAAATAATGTTGTCTGGTAGACTTACTCTGTTTGTTATATTTGCTTATTCCTATTGAATTAGTAAACAACTAAAGTTCCAAATAACAAGTTTTTTTTATAAATTTATATTATTATTTTTTTCAAAATAATATTATTATATATTTTTATTTGGAAAACGAAGTCGGTGCAAAATTAATTTCGATAACTTTTTGGAAAGACGTTTTTAGCTTCATATTTAAAACAAACAAGGTACCGGTATAGCTTACTTCTTCGTATATTGATTTTATAACAAGATATTTGTTTATGTTTATGTTCATTTCGGTTTATAAATATAATTATCGACTACTAAGCCATATCATTAAGAAACAAATTAGATATAATAAGATATGTTGAGTGAAACTAATTCGATATGTGTCTTACTTTTATGATATGAAGCACAGTTATATGTATATTGCAAACACATATCTAAAAGCAGTAAATATATTTAAGAAATTAAAGTTATATAGACTCCATATTCTAAACTGCTTTTGTCTAAAACACAAGTTTTATGTAGTTACGTTATATTGAAACTAAATAGATAATCTGTGTACGAAGTATTCTGTTAAGAACGTACTTGTATTATCTACATTGTATATGATTACGTATATATTAGATATTGAACCAGCTGTCTACTTGATGAGCTCATTAACACACTAAAGCCATACTCATTATGGTGGTCATATTGAAAAATCGCACGAGGATGTTCTAATTTGAAATATAACCTTAACAAAAACAGGATTTCCCACTCAAATACTTTAGTTGCTGATTACTTCTGTAAAAACGTTTCCGAAATAATTCCACACTTCCACTTAAACACAAATGCATGTCTATTTTATAAAATTTATGACAAAACAGGGTCGTGCTAATGATTTTTCTACAATGTAATACTTGAGGAAATGTCTGAGGAGAATTAGATTGCCAACTCCTACACTTGATCGTCAGGTAGCTGTTGATGGTTTGTCGGTACACGAATTGTAATTAATTCGGAGCTCATAACATCACAGGCCGTGTACTGCAGACATGGTTTGACAGAACGTTGTCAGTAGAATTCAGACAAGGGTTATAACTGTGTGTCGTAGATTCTATTTAGAGCTACATTATCAGGAGAACTCAAACGACGGATTAAAATGGTTCTTTGTAGATTCTCTTGGAAGGGGACATATTATTAGGACTCGGATGAGATATTATAGCTGTTTTCCGTAGTATCTGGTTGAAGGTACATTACGCAATTATCGCCCTTGTTGCAGGGAATCACCGTTATTTGTTTCTCCGAGATCAATCTTTTCTCACGAGCAATAATAGAGCTGATGAGGTTGACTTGTCATTGTTGTCGTCCGTTGCAGTCCCTAGAAACTCGCTTGTTGCGGATCTAGCACATTTTTCAATAAAGGCTTCGAATAAGTAAACTACTGTATGACTGGGAAAAATCAAGCGCGATGGGGCGACACGATTTTTATTTCCTTGTCATGTGATCAGTTTAATCCAATTAGACACACTTTGATATTTATGAGGTACATGTATATCTGTGTGTCGTAGATTATGTTAAGGGTACCTTTTCAGTAGACATCAACCGATTGAGTGCAACTGTGAGTGATAGACTGTTCTTGAGGTTATATTTGTGGAATACACACATCATATATTTTTCTTTGTGTCTCAAGCTCAAAGCTAGATGCGTGTTATATCATGTTGTAACGGAAAGCATCCGTTTTTTTCTTCCTTCATAAATGAATCATTCTGAAAGGAAAACCTGCAAATAGTCCAAAATGATGTGACATGGTGACCTTTCCTTAAAGGCGAAAGATTAGTAGAACCCCTTCACAAATGTCACACACCATGTCATAGACTTACCTTGGGGGCACACACGGCACGTTTATTCGGCCGTTCATAATAACTCTGTTGCGTCAACATGGCATTGAATGCATATTCATTTCAGTTCTATTCTAAGGAACAGGGACGCATTTCAATCAAATTGCTGTGTTTATGAACAGACAATCAAATATACCTTTTTGCGTTGACCAGAGATGATATATCTAAATCTTGGGTATTGCTACAGTATAAATCAGTGGCTAAGCACAACACGTTTTCTATGTTGCATCCTTATTGATAAGCACCATGGTTTGGTTTTGCTAGCCAAACGTCTTCCGCGGTATTATAGCAATCATACTCGGCGCTGTGCATGATATCGTCGCTACGCCGAGATATCACAATATATCGTCGCCACGCCGAGAAATCACAATAATTCTTTTCTTCGAGGATATTATTAAGGTTTTGTGACATTGTTTTGCATTCTAATATAATCTACCCCGTCAGGAATAAGATTATGTTACAAGAATATAGCTTTTCTGAAATCATTTTGAATCAAATTTCTTAATAAAGTCTTAATGTCAAAAACTTTATTATAACAGACAATATACAGCCGATTAAATATGCCATTAGCAAACGAAAGATGTCCCTGCACATTCGTTTTGTACTAAGTGGTACATGTATAACTTAGTTCCGTATTGACGGTATATTGTACATGTATACAGAATCATTTTACGGCAAGAGTTATTTGTTTTTCTTCGGTTTTCATTGTACAATGATACCGTCCATTCAACCTGACAGAACTATCACATAGTGTTACATGATTTTCGCGAATCTACAAACTTAGGTCGAGTTCTTTCTGTACACATGACATGTATCTCAGAAGCAACGCTAAGAGAATGCCTGTTTTATCTTCGTGGTTGTAAACAAGGTCCTTATGACAAATGGATGACATCAGGGCCGTAACAAGAGAGTACCGGAGGGTATTAAACTAGGGCAAAATGCAAACAGCTAAAAGATTCAGAAGACGACTTTTTAGAAAATTTAAAAACGAACACGTGACTTAATGTTTAAGATAAGCGTTCGCCGTCAGCATAGGTCATGCCGTAGTAATATCACGTCACCAAAGTGAGAATGTGAGAATGCAAAAGGTACACTAATGCCCATAATAAAGCCGATATTCATAAAAGATATTCTTTTTATGTTTGCTCGCGATATGTAAACACTGAAGGTCAGAAAAACAGGGATGTTACTACCAATAAGGAGAAAGTTCATGATTGGAAAAACAAACTAATCTGGTTTATATACAGATCATACAGTCTGGTATTAAGTCCACCGTATTGGTCATGTTGTAATAGAAGGTTACATTGTAGCGGCTGATGTAGATGAGTCTGCAATGTCCTAACCAGTATGCATCTATCCAGGAAATCCTGGTACCAGGTACTGAGAAAAGGCTCGGGTGTAGAGAATCACTTTCTGACGTGTAACTGGGGCATGTATAAACACAATGATTTTAACTACTTGCTACATTCAAATGTTGTGCTCAAATGTGTATGAAATCATTTATTTCCTTCGCTCCTGAGACAAACCTCATGTACTGCATTCTTAATTACGAATAAGACTCGCCTGACTGATAAGTTGGTACTGTAGTTTCTTTTATGAAAATATTTCAATGACAATTACTTTTATTTTTTTAGGTGACAACACAAGAGAAAGAAGATAACCCAAGGCTGTTTGAATTACACTAACAGGTTTGAGAAACACTTTATCTCATAAAAAAGGATCTGATCAACTTTCTAAATCTTCTTAATTAATGGATGAGCTAGTCTTGGCAATCGGTCATTGTTTACTTTTTAAACTGTTTTATCTCTGCGGTTGAGTTAATACATAACCATGATAGATTTTGCAGAGTCAATTATATTATACTAATACTGCTATACTAGTACTACAACCAAAATGACCTAACTACTTGTACTACCACTACTACTACTACTACTACTACTACTACTACTACTACTACTACTACTACTACTACTGTCTCCACTATTCTTCCTTGTACAATTTCCACTACTAGTACCATTGCCATCATTACTACTAGTACATGTACTACCACCACCACCACCACCACCACAAATACTACTACTACTAATACTAATACTACAGTGCTGTATTACTACCATAACTTCTACTATTAGTACTACACTATTCCCATCACTACTACTAGTACATACATGTTTGTACCACAACTACTACAAATACTACCACTACTAATACTATTACCATCAATACCACTACTACTAACACCACTACTACTACTACTACTACTACTACTACTACTACTACTACTACTACTACTACTACCATTATTACATTTCGTATAAGCTATTTCAACTTCTGATAATACGACTACTATTAGTACTATCCTTGCTACCAGTTCGACCATCACTACCTCACTACTACCAACACTGATATTTGAACTACCACCTCTATTGCTATGACTACACCACTATTAATACATAAATATACTAGTGGTTGCAAATGTATATGAATAATACCGTAAATGACATTCTTTCCAATCCATTTAACTTTTGTTTCATTTCAACCTTTTAGTGTGAATAGAAGGTATGGCATTACTGTGTCATGTTTATTCAAATTATGCTAAAAGCATTAGAGACAGATTTTAAAGAAGATTGCATTTGTTCCAAAGATAGATAAATTACCAATATTAAATATTTCCCAATCACACAAATTTAAAATAGTTATCACCAAGAATTTGATTCATGATGAACGATACTGTAAGCGATATTGGTTTCATACAGTAATTGGTCATAAGTAATCATACCAACGGACACCTTGCTGTCTCATTTCACTGCTGTAAACAATATAGTTTACTCTCGATGATATATGTCCGTCTCAGTTTCCCGAAGTTTTTCTGATGTGTCGCAATGAATAGAAAGATTCGATTGTCTATTGATCAATTGCGCAGTTGTAATAAATCAAAGAGTTTTTGTTTGACACATACAATGATATATAAAACAAAGCAATTGGAGAATTTAATTAAACATTATACATTCCTTTTTTTTAGTACATGGGAAATCTGCGTTTCGATTAAGTTAACGCTTCAGCTATACCCGATTCCAAAATTAAACACTTGTGCAAAAGCAAAAGAAATGGCAAACCTTCTTTCTTTGACTATTAAAAGCATATGTTGATCTAGTTTGTTGCATTCCATAGCTTACACGCGAAACGGAATATCGTTCAGTCAATCAAATTGGATATAGGAAAATGACCAAGGCAGAAAGCAAAGCGGATAACGTCTATCTAGATGGGTTTTTTATAACATAAAAAGACAATACTTTTTTCGGTATTCGTTTGATGGTTATTATTCAAGTTGGCATTTTCCTCTCACACTTCAATTTTTCTCTCACACTTCAAAGGCGGATTGCCGTTTTAGCTAGTTAAAATATTAGCTTGTCTTGACCTATCTAGGAAATACGGCTCTCACGCGCTATTATTCTGAAAACGTCACCATTAAATCATCACTTTGAGCAGGGTTGCGTCATCAATCGAGCTGATGCGCCGTGCATTGGGTTCACCAATACAACATTTTTTTATTATGGGAAAGTTTTGTGAAAAATAATCAATCACACCTATATGATAAAATATTTGGAGTTTACCACTCGGAAAAGCCTCGTGTAAAACATTTAAAAAAATTATCGGGTTGAAATTTCTCTATTAAAATCAAAAATGAGTGGCAGATTCTATTGATCATCCGGTTATCTCTTAGGCAGATTATTCTGTATACAAAAAAAAAAGGAATTCAATATGACTCCAAAGCAATTCATTTTGGTATTTAAATCCGTTTTATCGATTAAAGGTTTTGTTGGCATATCTTTTTAAATATATGCAAACCTTTTCTGAACACTAGGAATTTCAAGCTCATCTTTTCTTCCTCTTTGTGATTTAAATATAAATCGAAACTTAATTGAGTTTGCAACAATTTTAAAACAAGGTTTTGTCAAAATATTAAAATGAATCTTGTTGGCCCGAATGGAAGGGTGCAGTTGGTCTAAATGTGGAAGGAAAACGGAGTACCCAGAGAAAACTAAAATAGTCAGGCAGACGACACATACCTTTTCACCTCCGATCGAGAGGTGGAACCCCGGCGAGTGCGCTATCCAATACGCCATACGATTACCCGATATGGCTTATACATGTGTTTCCCTCGATATTATGTCAGCATTCTTATGGATAATGGTGCTACTTTAACGGGATTTAATAGTACGCCTTTACGTCTGCAAACATGCATGTAAAAACTGTTATCTTACTTACTGTTTAAAGGGTACTATAAATCATCAAGTGTTTGCAATTAGTATTGCTCTATGTGTTCCTTGGGTTTCTAAATCGATAGAAGAATAATAAGACATCTCTCCTTGTTATCATCTGTCTGTATCAATCTTTTGGAGATATTTGGATTCACGATTGCATATCCTCCCCAATTAACGGGGTTATGTATTAAATATATCTAATTTAGTGTGAGGAAGGCCTGATACCGCTTAACACTTTCTGTAGGTTTCAGTGTCCCCTGTCAATTGAGCTCGAAAATGATACGTGACGCCATGGCAAGGCAGCTAGGTATCCACACTCGGTCCACATGGGATAGGCTAGCCGTATTTCCATTTCATTTCCTTCTTTGATCAGCTATCTCTCATATCACGCGATCTGATCTTTTTCTCAGAAAACCAGACTCAGCAGTTGTTAAAAAATAAGCAGATACAACGTGGTTGCCTGATGTTTACTGCTAAATGCAAAAGTAAAGACACGTCAGCGAGCTTAAAAACAAAAACAAAAACGATTTCATTCACAGGGACTTTCCCTAGTAAACATGACGTCGATTGAGGCCATATTCGTCTCCTAACTCCAGACTCATCAACATTTGTTAGAAGACGTCAATGATGTTTTTGTCAGTGTAAAGTGGACTAGCTACATGTAAGAGAGAACATCGCGTGCACAACTAAACAGATTGAAATAGTCCAACTGTAATTTTATTGTTATCAAAATAGTTAAATATAGATCAGATAATGCTCCTTTCTGTTTTAGAATTTGTCTATGCAAGACCAAGCGCGTATACGAAGCTGCCCAATTGCTAATACGCAGATGATCCTATCAAAGTAAAACCATAGACCTGCTCCAAAATGAATCCGCTCAGAACAAAGGCTACATTTAGCTATGCCCCTTTGTATGATTTAGTAACAAAATCAACTTAGAACACAAATATATATATTTGGAATATTTGTTCAATTACTGTTACAAAGTACAGAAAAATAAATGAATAAAAAATAGTAAAACCGTGTTTGGGTAAGTTATTGGATGTTAATGTTTTACCATGTTTTCAAAACGGAAAATAATTCCACATAAAGATCTTTTTTCTATTTTTGAACTCAAATCTTTTGCAATCTATGTCTTTTCTACGTGTAAACAGTCATAAGTAAAAGTGACTCCCTCCAATAGTAATAACCTGTTAAATCCCGTACAACTCTCCGATTGTTATATACATTTTGTAAACGAAGACAACGTGGTGTGTGTTTGTCTGAGGGATATTCGTCTGTCGGTAGATTGTTAAGCACTGGCGGTTGTATAATTCGTGTTTTTTTTTATACCTACTGACAGTTTGTGACTAGGTTGTTATTAGACAAATACGGCGACGATCTACTTCCTGTTTATCAGAGGATTGCTCGGTGTAGGAAATGTGTTTGTTCCGTACATGAAATGCCATTTTGTTTCGGAATTACAATGTTGAATATAAGTGTTCTTCATGTTAAACTTGGTATGCTTCATTTTATTCGACCGTATGTAACTTGTTAGTAAGTATTTCCCGGCAAGTACTTACTTTTGCGAAGAATATTTTGACGACCGACCTATTTATGGGTTCGATCGTATGAAATAGGGAAACAATTGACGCTTCAATCCATTCTGACGCTTACAATATATGGTGCTGCTCTTAATAAAAAAAATATGTGCACGTCAAAGTATGATTGAGTGTATAACGCATATCCTGAATGGTGTTGTTTTCAAAATCCAGCGTATTTGTTTTTTGTTTTCACAGTTTTTCCCCGACGACTTCAAGATGAATGAATCTGGTTCCACAGCGATTCCTGACAATTCTTCGACTGCTTTTCCTAACGATACTTTTTATGATTACGAGTATTGGTCTTCAGAAGAAGAGAACTTTTTGTACCTGATAAAGATAGTCGTATCGATTGTTTTCAGTCTCATCGTCTTAATTGGTTTTGTCGGAAACTTATTAGTAATCATCGTCGTTTTCTCAAATAAAAAGATGCAAAACACCACCAATATCTTGATAGTGAGTCTGGCCGTTGCCGACCTGTCTTTTATTATTTTCTGTGTGCCTTTTACTGCGACCACCTACACCATGTCACGGTGGCCATTTGGAGATGTCTGGTGCAAAATCGTCCAATATCTAACTTACGTGTGTGCGTACGCTAGCGTGTACACGCTCGTGCTGATGTCACTGGACAGATACCTGGCCGTCGTACATCCCATCACATCCATGCGCATCCGTACCAGTCGCAATACGTACATCATGGTCTACTTAACATGGATTATAATGCTTGGAGGCAACATACCAGTCATCTTTGAATTTTCCCACAAAGAATTTGGAGACAACAGCAACAGATCCAGCTGTGTTGATATCGATTTCTTCAAGGCTGATTACCTCTCCTCGCAACCATTTTATGGATGCTTCTTTGCTTTTGGTTACGTCATACCGCTTACACTCACGTCCATTCTGTATGGTTTTATGATCAAGCGGCTTCTCTATGGAGTAGTTCCTGGTGGGAGCCAACGGCCCGACAGCATGAGGTCGAAAAAACGTGTTACCAGAATGGTGGTCATTGTCGTCGTAATCTTTGCAATTTGTTGGCTACCAATTCAGATTATATTTGTACTGATTAGTTTTGGACATGTTGGGATGGACTCGAAATTTTTTGTTGGAACTTTGATAGCGTCTAATTGTCTGGCGTACATGAACAGCTGTGTCAATCCAGTATTGTATGCTTTCCTGTCCGAAAACTTTCGTAGAAGTTTTAGAAGATTGTTGTGTTGTGCAAGCGACCCTCTCAGTAAGTTTGAGTATGAAAGGACCAATGTTCGTGGGATTGAAAAGGAGTCGAAAGAAACTCTTCTCAACAATACCACTAAAACTGTAACAAATTGCTCAAAGGACAAGAACAGTAATTCTGAAAATGCTCTTCCTCTTCAGACATTGAATAAGATTTAGCTATATTAAAATAGACGGTAGATCATATATCATAATTATAGAGAGAGAAAAAGTAATATATAACCAATTGTATTAATTTGACAAGACACAGACACATATTTGATTCGCAAATTAACTATCACAACTTAAATGTTGCTTGAATTTGTACGATTATGTATGAAGACACTCAATTCATGCATATCATTGAAAAATTGTACCTTATGACATTATATATGAGCCGTATTGATTTGAAATTCGATGATAATTAACTTAGCTCACAGGCTATTTTTATTTCGAAATGATAAAATGGCGTTTTATGATCACTGCAATCTCATTAATGATATGATAATTGATGCTTAGAGAGTTATCTTCGTTAAACAGAGGTTCAATTAGCATTGTCTTGCACTCCATAATTAGTCGATGTTATAAGATAACGGCATATGTTGTCATTGGTACCTTACATTACATTCGTTATCCTAGGCTTGTATTACATTGTATATGATAACAGCATATGTTGTCATTGGTACCTTACATTACATTCGTTATCCTAGGCTTGTATCACAAGATAACAGCATATGTTGTCATTGGTACCTTACATTAGATTCGTTATCCTAGGCTTGTATCATAAGATAAAAGCATATGTTGTCATTGGTACCTTACATTACATTCGTTATCCTAGGCTTGTATTATAAGATAACAGCATATGTTGTCATTGATACCTAACATTACGACAAAAAGTTATTTGTTTAAAGTTCCAATTCATTACTTATATATTCATATATTCAATACCAACCATAATCAGTCTTAAGTTTCTTTGTGCATGTTAGAATGATTAACGATTAGCAATCATTATATGTATATATATATATATGTTTGTTCTAAAATATCAGAATGAACGTTAGTCTATTAGACAAATATGGTAGACAATCGTCAAAGCCCGTTACGTCTGTATTCCGGATAACCGATCGAACAGTAAAAATGCTTAAGGAAACATACCACCTAACAGGGGACTTAAACGTCTTATTTTCCACATTTGTTTTTGTATAGATGTTAATATTCTTTTTAAACGTTCGATTTACATGCTGACTAATTATGGAGTGCAAGACAATGCTAATTGAAACTCTGTTTAACGAAGATAACTCTCGAAGCATCAATTATCATATCATTAATGAGATTGCAGTGATCATATAACGCCATTTTATCATTTCGAATTAAAAAAGCCTGTGAGCTAATTGAATTATCATCGAATTTCAAATCAATACGGCTCATATATAATGTCATAGGTACAATTTTTTAAATCATTTTGACAAAAACATATTCTACGTACATCATAAACCGTATTTTTCTCATTATCTAAAACTCATGTTTTATTACCGTGCTTTAGACGAGGTTTGTGGTAATATGTCTTTTCTTTAAAAATAACCGTCATAGGTTTCATCAAACTCCTAACCATTGATATTTATTCTGTCATTTTAATTGGGAAATAGCCTCGCGTAAAACGACGTCATAATGCGTTGTGACGTCATAGTGACATTATTATGACACCATATTCTATAGAAATAATGTACCAATCACCAAGAGAAAATCTAGATAATTTGAAAAAAAAAATATATCATATCTTATTTGTATATATCACGGTCATACTCTAACAATATAACGTTTTAACCAAAATGAATATTTTCTTTATTTAATTTTTCGATTGGAAATAATAAGATGAATGCTTAAGTCATTTTCCCAAATTTATTTATATTAATGGTGATGCAGCTGATGAATTGCTGAATCGCTTGCTTTTAGAATGTTATTTTTGTGGGTTATCCTTGCTAATGTTGATACGACCTCCTGGTGGTACGTATCATGTGTTTTTCTCTAACGTAGGATCTGGGAACTATCACGGGGTCCAGAGCACGGGAGTTGAGAGAACGGAAATGACGTCAGAAATTTGAAGACTTCAGAAGAACAACCATCTTCTAAATTCCAAGCCAAGGTTTCACTGTTTTTATTGATATTGTCAATCCTTTGCTTTTAGAGTTAGAAACAGAGGAATGTCTTTTGGCTATTTGGATAATATCAGTCAGTTGTTTATATTGTTGAGCAGTTATTGTTTGACAATTACGTCATTTTCCATCTCTAACTCGTATCATGCATGGTAAATTAGTGTTTTCAATCATAATTTAATCAGAAATATCTTCAATAAATATTCGATTTGATAAACTGGTTTGAAATCTTTTACCTTTCATTTATGTGCATTTGATTTTTTTTTATACCAAACTAACAATACTTTTCTGAACTAGTAATAGCAAAAACATTCGACGTTTGCCACGCATGCGCCACTCGTACAGTAGAATAACAGGAAATCGAACGGTATAATGGTTCATGTGACATTCCGCCCCCTTTACCCGTTCTGTTGGTTTTATTGTTTAGATAGATTTTTAGACTTCCTCTGATGCATAATGGCATCTTTTCAGTAGATTCTACTAATACTGCTACCACGCTCATTTTTAATTCATATTTGTGCAAACACCTCCGGATTAATGGAAATTTTCTTTGTCAATATAAAATTTCACAACGAAATAATTTACTCGTCTTTACTTAGACATGATCCCTTTAGGAAAACGACAAAACTGAGTAAATTATCATTATTTTGTTTTTGAACGTCTTTCCTTCAAGAATAGTTAATGCAAGTAAATTCAGCTCAGGTATACGTACCGTTTATAGGTGTTAATAACGCCACCTGAAATACCACCAATGATTAATAACATACTAAAAACATTTTGCATGTTTTTCACCACCGTGATTATGTTACATGGTCAGTCATTCTGATATTTCAGATAGTAAAAGGCGTGGTAATAATTCTATCTCAAGTTGTGATGATTGAAATATAACTTTGTTATACATTCTATTTCTAGAAGTACCATTAATCCATCCCAAATTATCTTATTGTTTCACAGCAAATTAAATGACACATTTCTACCCAAACTAATTAAGTGACTATTTTATTGATTGGGGGAAAATGTTACCCTAGTCGGTTTTGTATTGGATGTTCCCTGATACAGTAGGGCATGTTCACTTGTGAAAAAATGCGTTTCTCAAACTACTTGCTATTTGGAAATTCTCGCGCATGCATATTTTTGCGTTGATGCAAAGAACGCAAAATAACCGAAAATTTCCACAGCACAAAAAATTCTATTTAATGAAGTTTGCCATCCATTCAGACAAATTAGTTGTCCTTCCTGATCCCAGTTTAAATTGATGTTGTCCACCAAACTGTCTGTAAGAACCCTGTAAGAAGAGACTGAAACACGTAGCAAATGAAACTGACTCGATTAAAGTCTACTTTTCTGGTGGTAATAACTTAAAATTAATATCAGTAGGTTTTTCATTTAACAAACAATAATAAATGTTATTACAAAGTTTCATATTTGATATACCAGTATAAAGCTTGAAGAGATTATCATAGCGTGTTAAACGTTATACTGTTTTTGAAAAGGAACTATATGAAAACATTTCATACCATTTCAAATTTAGAAATATTATCAAAGGTCACCATTTCAAATTAGGATATGGATTTGATGTTTATCACGACCATCATTTTATTTATCTGTTCATATGATAATCGATTGTATTGATAACTTATTAGCGTACAAGATACTGTATACCGGGAACTTTTCGCTGCAGAAATATTTTCGCCTTTCACGCTCTCTGAAATGAGGACGAATTTATCATTACAGCGAACAATAGCCTTAAACATTATTTACATAGTAATTAAATATGAAAAGCGAAATTAACATAGGGCGAAGGGCGTACGTTTGACTCGGCAAAAAATCACCGGTACCGTATTCCGTCTTTGTGTAATGCAGAGTTACCTTCTCTTGTGAACAGGTATTGATTGTTACGTCATTGGTTTGTGTCGTTACGTCGTTTTCTCAAAAAATGATGATGTCACTCTCACAAAATAATGGTGTAACAATCAATTCATGCTCCCAAGAGCAGATGACTCTGCAATACGAAAAGACAGAATACAGTAACACTGTTTACAATAGGTGACTGACTTGTTAAATCTATTGAATAGAAGCGAATTTATAATGTTGATATTAAAATATTTTATATATATGGATGTAAGTATACTATATTATAATATACAACACAATGTATGTGTAATACTCTGTTGTTTTTATTTAACAGGTCTTCACAAACAAAATTCTTTATTCCAATCTACTTTATAAGCTGTTTTATTTTAAACAGAAAGCACGTCCTGAACTTTAGAAGTATATATATAGATACACAGTAGTAATGAGAAATAGTTTTGTTGTTTCACGTCATGCAGATGAATTAGTTATCTCACAAAAAAAGAAGTATTTTCAACATACACAAACATAGATTAAAAACGTTCTTAAGATCTGAAGATTTGTTTTATTCGACATAGTTACAAAATGTATTGTTTATTTTTGTGGGTCTTGTGACGTTAGATTTGCGCAAAATATGACACACGGATATTTGTGTTATAGTTTATGACTCGAGCACGTTCATGTACATGTGATTATAAATAAATGATATTTATATGTGTGATAATTGTATATTAGGTATCAGAATACTTGATATTTGTAGACTATATATCTATATACATATACATATATACAGTGAATGTGCTGCAGTTACAAATCATGACGGAATTACATTACAATGAAATCACTTCGACGACGTGTTCGCTCATCAACCCTGAAGTGATCAGTAGCTTTGTGTTATCTTATTTAATTCTATCATTATGATTCAATGTTTTGGTTTGTGTTACTTCTGTTTATTGTGGAATAAAACTTTTGTGAAATAAAATTTAACAAGCTTGTTGTCTAATTAATTGCAAATAAAATTGCAAACCACAAATCACAAAGCGAAAACACAGCATCAGGAACTGTTGAGACATCATTGTCCTGCTGCAATATTCTACTTGCTTATCTCCCCCTAGATTTGAACTTGAATCAGACATACAAGATATCAGTATTTCGAAAGTCTCATATTGTTCTTTATAAAGTACAGATTCAAGAGATCAGGTTCCTGTCGATAGAAGGGGAAGCGTTCCATATACTTGATGAACCGTTCAAACAACATTTAAGAAATATGTAAATCAATGACTGTACATAAGATAAAAAAGGCTTAAATCACGAAAGCTTCACTGTTGAAAACGATCTTACAAAGTAGTAATGAAAACTTCGCAGTTAAAAATAATATTGATATTCCATTTGACTTAGTATCTGGAAGATTTTTACTTTTCTTTTTTTTTATTAAATCAAGCAGCTCGGTAAAATAGCATTTTCATTATTAATCAAAATATGACAGACCAAAAAAGTAGAGTTTACAAATATAAGAGCACAAACTGTATCTTTAACTTTATTTGGATGCAGTGTATTAAAATCGATTAAAGTATAATTTCAGATTAAAGCTCAGTCTGTATTTTGTATTCAAAAACGCTGTTCCCGTTTTTGATATTTATTTAAAGATTCAAACATATTTTCCCTTGGAGAACTCCAAAGATGAACTTCAGAAGGGAGCAGGATAACTATCATTATCCATGTACCCTAAGGACAGTTACTCTTAATCGAACCAAACAGAGAAGAAAGGCAAAGAAACAAGAATGTTTATTACATATGCAAGATTTGCTTTACTTTCATGTACATGTATGTCTAAAAATTTTGTTGTCTGATGTGAGAGTGATATGTAACATTGATGTTACATTCGGAATCTCGGACGACTTATGTAATCACCATTGTGCTATACCTGTTTTCCTGCAAACAAGTGAAGTTAAACAGTTCAATAGCACAGGTCAGGTATTTGTTATAATACCACAAAACTATAATTATGGGACTACATTGGAAACCAACGGTGCCTCTCCAACTGGACTAAATAATATCAGGTAAACTAATCACTGTAATGTCTGGCAACAAACATGTCATAACGTTAGCGATTGCTTATTTGAGATTTTAAAACAGATGTTAACTATGACAGTTTTCCAAATCCTAAACCAGAATGTTGCAAGCGTTCATTTGCATGAACAATCAAAAACTCGCACTACACACATGCCCACTGCACTCATTCAAAGAACTTTCACTTTATAAACGGTAACTTCAACATGTACTCACATAGTAATTGTTAGTTTCATTAATGAATGAATACTACTACACTTATGCATCTAGACTGATCATCACAGCGCCTAGCTTTTCTACCTAGAATTACCATTTTCTCGTTGGTTTTCTCAGTGACGCTCACCTAACACTTGTAACACATGTAAACACAACTTTCCGTAATTACGTTCTACTCACTTACTGACGATCTACAGCATGAACAATAATAAATACATACTTCCACAAAATCAGCTTTACGAATTGTTATTCTATCATGTATCCATTTAAAATGTGTCACCAATTCTCGAAAATTCTTAAATATAACTTTTTGACAGAGTTATGAAAAATACATGCAGATTTCATGCGGCTTCTAATATCGTATCGACCGCATGTCACTTTGTTTATGAAAAAATGATAATCGATCGTCGAACGCATTTTAGGTTTAGCATGAAATATGAATAACACTTATCATAATTTTACATTTTCATCGTTTTTAATTTGTCTAGTTCATGACTTATAAATATAGCTGACCACGACTAAATTGATAATAAATTACGTATGCATCAAGTAGTTACGTCGTATAAACCTAGGGTTAGGCTTAGCATTTAACTTAGGGTTGAGGAGGTGCGGTAGTCTAGTGGTAGGACGCCGGGCTCGTGACCCAAGGGTTACGGATTCGAGGCACGGCACTGTATTGGTTCATTGAGCAAGATACTTTACTCTGCTTGTTCCAGTCTACACAACTGTTAATGAGTACGTGGTTGGGCAGTGCTAGAATTGTAGAATGCTAGCTGTGAGCGCCGAAATGGCAGCACCGGCTTTATGCTCCCGAGGGAGTTTAGAACGAGATTGACTGGTTGCAAAGGCCCTACAACCACGGATAATAAGTTGTGAATCGCTTTGAGACGACCTACGAACAAGGTTGTGATAAAGCGGTATATAAGAACCTCGAATTATCATTATTTTTATCAGTGTTTGTTTTCATATATGCGAGAATGCATTATCTGCTTCCTTCATTTAAAATATGTATCAGCTCATACTCAAACCATGAAAGATCGAATCTCAACACCTGCATGGATCAATATTTCGCGGTTTCGTATTCAGTACATAGTCGCGGGGGTTAAATGTCGCTGTGGACCCGAATCCCATATGTCGTCAAAGTACTTTGAGTGTCATCATTTAAGGGTTTTACCTCGAAAAACAGCTAATTCGTTTGACAACACTGATCCCAACGTTGTCATCCGCCAATGACTTCAATCGAAAGAAAATCAAATGTGTATGTACCTTTGAAGGAGTAAACTGTAATACATTAATCACCTACTGTGTACACATAAATATGTTGTTATATGCACTGCCCAATTGTCCGGTGATGGTCTGATTTGAGTGCATTTAAGCTTGCATAACAGCTCTGGGTTATAAGTATTTTCAACATGTTGTGATAGAGTCTGTAAAAGTGGTTAACATTTTCGATAATTTCACTTGTGTTTCGAATTCGCGGATATTAGTCAATTTAAAATCCCCGCGAAATATAACCGCTTTACAGTACATAGTTACATTGATATTCATATGATCATATGTTTTTAAGTCTTTTTCTTCAGGTTGGTAAGTATGGATTATGAGAAGTTCTCATAATGGACTATATAGCATTTCGATGTGTGGTGTGATTTCTTATTTTGTAAAAGTCGTTCAAATGATGTAAATATGTGTTTTCGTTCGACTTAAATTTGCCTTTGGCCTTTGGTGAATAAACAATTGAATTAAACATTAATACAAATGTTGAGTAAAAGTAAAAGGGGGATAAAACCTGGTGTTCCAGAAAGGTTAAACATCTACTGCTTCATCAACGATACCCATCATATAAAACTAAGTGTAACAAGTGTCAAGAAGCTTTACTTAACGTCGTATATACATGTAACATAATAACATTAGCACTGTAGTGCTATTCTTGCGACAGCACACCTAACGTCGCCGTCTGCAAGGAACATACATTTTCCGGACATAATAAAAAAAACGACTTTCATATCACGCAAAAAATATCATATTTCAAAATAAGATCATATTGGTGACCCTAACACAATGTACTTGGCAATAGTCTATGTCAACATGCATTTATAAAAAAAAACTTCTTGTAATATTTTTGTCATCAGTCGACACCTATCACAAACTCATTGTATTCGGAGCTCGCTCTTGACTACTCATGCAAACACCCGAGAGTCAGGAAGCAGATATTTTACAATCAAGAAAGGGAAAGTTCAAATTCAGAAAATAAATCTTCCCACTGATCTTAACGCATAGAAGAAAACTTTCCCTTTTGTCTACGTTGTAGGATATTGATGATTATAGAACAACAATTAAGATATGTTAAAAACAGTTGAAACATACGTCTTCCTAACGTGAAAAGGTTAACATTTTATGCTTGTAAGAATTTTGCGTATTGATTTTATGATACTGAAAATATTTCCAAAATGAAAGGTTATTCTGAGAAATTCTGACGCAATAACAACATATCCCCCCTTATGTATAATTTTATGATACTGTCTGAAAAACATGTAGTTAGTAAAAACGCATTGTCTATATTTCCCAAATCAAATTTTAAAGTTGACATCACATGTTAAGGGTAACCATGCACTGACAAAGTATTTTTATAGACGCCCTACATACCACTTTCGAGGAAATGGTAAGACTGCGTAGGAAAATTATCGACTTCTTGTTTTACAGGCTCGTCTTTAGTGTTTGAACTGATTTTAGGAAATACCATAAATACATGTATCTTAAAATGATTGGCATCAACAACACAGCTAATAAAACTTAATTTAAATGTTTGAGAAGTAGATGTTATATAAGTATGCCGAGACTTACTTGTTGTAATAGTGTTACCAGTTTATTGGTAATCCACTTACGCTTCGAAGGAGCTCGTCTCTCCAAAAAATACCATTAGCGAATGAACGTAGTGTTATAAATGTGTACACGACAATAGATTATGATAGGGGTTGCATTTGCCTTGCTACAAGAAAGTAATCAAATATTTCCTAAAAGTATTGGTAATCCAACAGTAGATTTCGTTATCGCCTTGCAACAAATTTGTATTGAAACTAATGTGCCCCATGTGTCAAGATCATTCAGAAAAGGCACAAGCAATTTCCAACATTAGACTAACTATACTTTTCCAAAAGCGTTCTTTAGTGTATTGGTAACAGGAACACTTATATACAAACGGTCATGACATTGTATGGTGGTGTTTGGGTCAGATAAGGGTCATTTAAACCTGTCCCAATGCTGTATTGCAAGACTTTGGACCTACTAATATGTAACGACCCACATGGTCATTACAACGCGCTAACAAGAGATGCAAATGAAAACACAACTCCATAAATGTCAATGATGATAAGAGCGTTGTTCGATATCGTCAACGGTAACAGATGGTAATAATTATGCACATCTCCTTCTATTTCGGCAGTTGTTCAGAAAAAAATGCATTTCGTACATTTTGGCCCCTAGCATCAACGATGCGTCCTAGAAGGACGAAACAGCTGTGTGGTGTAATTCATGTTTGCCAAACTGTATCTATTACTAACACTGTAAAGGTGCCACCAACTGTGCGTGTTACGTTCAGCTTACATGAGTAGGTATCCAGGTATACATTGACCACACAAGTACTATTATTTCCTTTATAGATTCACGTGTGTATCATTGATTCAGAGGTT